CCCCAAAACCCCAAAACCCCAAAACCCCATGATTCCTTGTTAATCATTGAATAGGTGAAATCAGAAATGGTAATGATTATTTTCAATTATTATAGTTATTATTTAAGAATTTAAAAATTGTTAAAATGCAAGTATTAAGGGAAGAATAGGATGACTTTAATGATAAACAGTCCAGACACAGTTAAAGAGACATTTCAACTTAAAGAACTAAGGCCTCTCTTAAGATTAAAAACATATTCAAAAAGAGCCTCCTTGAAAAAGCTAGATAAAGGCTTAAAATGCCAGGATATTTTAGAAAACCATCTGTTGTATTGTTATTTAAGAAATCTTGTCGACTGATCCTCATCCTTACTTTTATTGGTTTAATAGTTCTGCTTTTCACTTTGATTTTTCAATTGTTTGCATATTTTATAACAAACATTGGAGCATCGATTGTATTATAAATTTTTGTTTATGCTTATAGATCTACTTACTAATACTCTATTAGCTTGGTAGGACATTCTGTACGATTGCAGCTTTTCCAGGCAGCTTCTGGTTTTGGAGAAAGGATATCGAGTACAGATTTTCAATGTAAATTTGCCATTGCCTTTTATTAATAATATTCAGTGATAATTGTATGCAATTGAAAGCAAATATAAAGGTCGCTAGAGAATCAATAGAATAGATGGAGGGTAAATATCACATTGATAGGATAGATTTGAGCTATTTCTCACATATTATGCAATCACTTAGAAGATAGATATATTATTTAATAGAATCTTATGCAATGCAAGAATATTTGAATCAGCCTCAGCAGAATTTTAATACTAAGCTGCTTAGAATAAAAGAGCTAATGAGTAGTGTTAACTTAAATTTAGAAGGGTAACAGAAAGATTTATGGTCATTAGATCTTGATTAATAAAAAGAGTAAGGCTATTAAGATTAAGGAAGCAGATGTAAGATTCTATAAGAATTAACTAATTTTTATATAGCATTTAACGTCGATGTATTTTTGCTAGAGGACCCGAATAACATGAAGAATTTTTAAGAGCTTATCTCAACATTTAAGGAATTTGAGTTACTCCTTAACTAATACTTCAAGCCAAATAATTTTAAGGATACAATAAAATATTATTTTGGTGCTAAACCCCTTGGAACAGGCGATCTTATGAGAGCTGAAATGATTATGAAATATAACGGATAGTAATTTTGGGTTACCAGTTTTGATGGAAAATAAATTGACTGTATGATTTTAAAATCAAACACAATTCGACCATCAGATTCAAGCAATAGCAATAACTCAAACAGATTGTCTGAAGATAGTGAGTAGATGAGTTATTAAAATAAACCCACAGTACTTTTTTGCAATCCTAATGCCTGCTATTATGAATATTTGCATTACTAGAATGAATGGATTGACTACTACTATAATTTAGGAGTTAATATAGTTATTTGGAACTACAGATGCTACGGAAGATCTTAAAAGGGCTCAATTAGTCCAACTGCTATAATGAGAGACGGCGAGAAAGTATGTCAATATGTAAGAAGCAATTTGATATCTGGGAAACTAGCCATTCATGGAGAATCATTAGGAGGGTGTGTTGCAAGTTATATTGCAAAAAAATGCAAGGTAGATTTTGTATTTGTTGATAGAACTTTCGCATCAATGTCTGATATTGCCTTCTGGACATTTGGTGGAAGGATTGCTTGCACATTGTTTCTAGTTTTAACTAGGTGGTCAGAATAATGCTGGGTTAATTTTTGGGAGATTTAGGAATGTTACAAATTAATGGGATGTGATCCAGACGACAAAATTATTACTGATCTTGCATCTCAAAGGAATTGCATAGCTAAACACCTTATCAGATCAAAGTTAGATGCCAATCTCTCCTCTATACCAAAATACAAATCAGAGTAAAAATTGAACGTAGATAACTATATTATTTCAAAACAAGATTTTAAGATATTCAAAGATAGTTTAATAAATTTATCAGAGATGTTTACTGATTTTTAAGAGAGAGCTAGATTAATACCCTTATTATCCCAAAATGAAAAGTCAAAAAGACAAAGTATGAAGCTAAATGATAACTCATTGTCTATTGATGTTGATTAAGACCCAATAAATAAATTGAGAGATAAGGAATTCAAGAAAAAAATTTAGCTTGGTGGTATGACTCCTAATATAAATTAATTGAACTATCTGAATAATGATTTATTGCCTGAGGTCAATCTAGAGAATGGAGACTTTAACAACAATAATAAAGATTTTCTAATTGAAAGTGCTCATGTCAAATCTAACTTTGGCATTAATAATCTTCTTAATAATTCTGAAATTGTATCAGGTGGTAAGGGTGTTATTCCAGATGCATAGATAAAAAAGATATCTCATCATAAGAAAAATATTCTCAGCCTTTAACTCCCTTAGATTTAATTCTATGGCTCAAGTCATGCTCCGCATGAACCAATAGAGACTGATTTAGAGGGAATGTCAGCACTTGAAGAAAAATATATGAGCATGAATATAATGAGTAATAGAACAGGGGTTTCATAGAAACCATAACTCTAGGCAATTCCTAATAAATAATCAGATGAGTAAAGAAGAGTTTAAAAGATAGAGTAAAAATATATGCTAATGGAGGAGAATTCTCATAAGAAGACAAATTTCAACTCTCTATATCAGATTCTATTAAAGATCAGAAGAATATTAGGATAGATTGATGCTGCGGGGAAACCATTAGTTTCTATTATCGACTAGAGACATAAGGGAAGGTTAGCGTAATTTAGATAAGAAGAGGAACTGCAAGTAAGTTATTTATATTGATTAAGTTTTAGATGTTCATTGCAAATCTTGAAATATTTGGTAGTATGCATCCATTTTCATCTGATGATTTCCCTAATTACTTAAATCAAAGATTCAAAGCACTAGTAAGTTATCTTCAAGTTTAAATGCATTAGAACAAAATAAGATAAATGATAGACTAGTTTAATGTGATCATAAATGATATATCAAAAGATGATGGCAATGGTCTACTTTACATCTATACTTAGAAACAACTATCTAATGTTAGAGATATCCTTTATAAGTTGGATAGCTAATTCCATTTAAAAGTTTAAAATACTGAGCTCAGAACATCTAAGAATGAGAAAGATCTCAGTGATTTGTTCGAACACGAAAATCCTTTCCATCATGTTAAATCAGTAAGACTTTCCGCTTTAATAGTTAATAGGAAAAGAAGAATTACAAGTAAAATTAGTTTGAGGAAGTGAAGCTTGGAGAAAAGGATATTGATGATTTGGACTTTGATGCAGAAATAGCTTATGATGTATCATAGAAATATAGCGACAATAACAACTTCTCTTGGAAGCACAGAGATAGTATAGAGAGTGATCAGATAAAATGTGATATAAAGGAGTCAGAGAGAAAGTTGTAAAGGTCAGAGTCATAGAATTCCACTACTAATGACTTAGTAGTTGATAATGCAGTTTAGTAGCTATAAGAAAGGCAAAAATTGATTATCAGTGGAGTTACAAGTGTAGAGCCTAGTACTTAAAATGAGTCATCAATAACAATGAATGTCATAAATCACACTGATTTGAACCAAACAACAGTTCTTAAAGGCATTTCTGCTAATCTCCCAAAACCTGCTTTTGATAACATGATTGAACCAACAGCTGAATAAATAGGTCATTATTTGCTATTGTAATGCGGACACAACGGATATTTTTCACATAAAGAGAGACTAATTTATGAGAAGCATTTAGTTAAATCAGGATTTATAAGTGAAACATAGCTAAGTCATGTAAATATGAACAGAGCTTCTTGTGTTACGATTGATGACTTTGAAGGAGGAGGGGGGTATAGAACCAAAGCAAATTTAGAATAGCTTCATAGCAATTCTACTCACGGGAGCTAACAGCAAATGCTAATGCTATTGTAAAGTTCAAATATGGATACTAATATTGCAAATTTAACGACTTATAACAACACGATGGGGCTCAAAGATTTGAAAACAATAACAGGAGATAATACTTAAGTTACGGAGGGGACCAAGGTATTTGGCTAGAAATTGCAAAGCGAAAGATTATAGCAAGAAGCTAGTGTCTTAAATGATAGCTATTTGCCTTTCAATGATTGAATTAATGATTATATTCTATCTTTTTAAGAATTAAAAATTATATTAGATAAAATAATAATTACACTTTAGTTTCAATTCAATCTAGCGGGGTTTTGGGGTTTTGGGG